AGCGGCAGCCAGCGCCGCCCAGCGCCCGGCCCCGGGGTCGCCGCCGCCGCCCGCCCCGCGGTCCCAGCCCCGCTGTGACGCAGGCCGCCGTGCCCGGGAACTTCCTCCCCTGCGGAGACCACCCCGCGCCGGGACTGGTCGGCGAGGCTGCCGCCGGCCTCCGGAGGCTTTCTTCTCCAAGTGGGAAACGAACCCTCCCGCGCTCTCCCGCGGGGCCGCTCCGGCCTCCGAGGCGGCCACCTGGCGGCCTCTGCCCGGGGAGCGGGCTGCGTCTAATACCTCCCCCATCGCTAACTGGGCGCGGGAAACCGAGGCTCTTCTGCGCTCTGTGGCCGCTCCACTGCCGCAGCTCCTCCCCTGGGCGTTAGAGGGGAGCAGCTACCACTAAAAATAGCCCCTCTGGCAACTCCCCTGCTACACTGGGGTCTGGGTAGAGATAATCCCTCCTCCTCGTCTCCCGCCCCTCGTGACAACAGAAGGACCCCATAAGAACACAAGAATGGGAAGGGGCGCACTGAGGGAGACGGAGGAGAAAGGTTAAAGCCCGTATCCGTGCACCATGAAGCCCACGAGCCCCAGGACACCCGGCTCCTCTCCGGCAGGATCCCCCATGTTCCTGGACACTGACAGCTGGGCTCCCCTGTCTCTCAGCAGTAGGTTCTAGGGACGCTGAAATTGAGCGCCCCGCCTACAATTGTGAGCTGTGTATAGAAGAGTTGACGGTACTCGTCACAACCACCTGTTGTTTAAAGAGTATGGGGGAGGGGCTCTCCCTTACTGATTGATCTGAAGCAGGTTTTTCTTCTCGTTCTCCTCCCACCCAATTTCAGGATTGAAAAGCAAACTCTGTCTTCTTAGAAGTTGACAACTATCTGTATGGAAAATCTTCTGCCCAGTGAAAAATGTACAGACAAGATTACTAAGTTATATAAAGTCTCCAGGGATGCCTTAGTAATATCAGTTATTCTAAGAGTACCTAAAATTAACCCATTGCTCTGTCCTGGCAGTCAGGAAAAGGCTGATGTTTCTAATTGTCTTTCAGTAGTTGATTTGTTCTTACACAGGAAGCCTTAAGAGGGCAGGTACTTCCTTTTACCGCATTTCTATTTCCAAGTCAAAATGAAAAGAAAATTTGTCCAGAAGCTGTTCTCCTAGCTTTTAACTATTTTCCCCCTACTTGCTTGGAGAACTATCACACTTTTTCCAACTCTTGTACTGTTGTGGAAGTCAACCTTAAGCCCTTGTAGGCTGTAGATGACTCTAACAACAGCCTTAATTCACCTAAATCAACACAAAAGTCTAGGAGAAAGGGAAGGGTGGGGCCTTTCTCCTAGATAGCAGGTGGAAAAATCCCTGAAAAGTTCCTCTGGAAAAGGCAGAGTTGACTGTGGCAATTTGCTAAAATTGTGAGCACCTTGCAAGCTACCAGATATTATCTGAGGTAGTTCCGCCTCTTAAATAGCTTACCTGGATTTAAATACTCAATGAGGCGAGTACTCTAAGGGCACAAACCTCCCGTCCAGAGCTTCATTCTGCAAGTGCTTTCTGAGCATCTCTGTCCTCCTGTACCATTGTCACCCTGACCTCAAGCTTAGGCATCTCCGAAACGCTCCCTCATTACCCAGTGGCAAGGAACTAACTACTCCACCCTAGACTTTGGACTGGGGTGCACCAGGAATAAATCCCTACTCTTCCTGTGGGAGTTATAGCTAATTTTATATTTTTCCATCATCGGCAATATGGGTATGGGTGCTGTGCAAATTAGATAACATGCTTAAAGCAGCAAGAACAGTGCCAAGCACTTTATAAATACGCAATAAACGGTAGCTGCTATCAATGGTAGCTTACAATAAATATGTGCTTACTGTACTCTTCATAGACCTGAAATCAGAAGGATGAGGAAGAGCAACAAGATTTGGAAATGGGGCATGAACCCTGCAAGTTGAGTCTCCTGCCTCCCCCGGATGCTTAACTACAATACTTTTGTCTGCTACCTGCTTTTTAATAGGGTGCATCGGGTAGGTCTACATGCAGTGATGTGATTCACATGCACTCTGAAGTCTGAGAGGCACTAGTCTGCAAACCGCTATGTTATCCTGCTTAGGTCACCTTTTCTTATTTTAGAACACAAACTCTAAGTCTGGTCACTTGCCTCAGTCAGCCTAACTCAAATCAACATCCACACTCACCAAGCCCTAGGAAAAACACCAGGTGAATCCATAATCAGCCAACTCTTGTGAGTGCTGGACCTTAAGGGTCTCAAAGAAGTACAGTAGACCCCATGATCTGTGGGGAATATGCTCCCATACACCCAGTGGGTGGCTGAAACTGCAGATAGTACCAAACCCTCTATATAGTATGTTTTTTTTCCTAAACATACATACCTATAATAAAGTTTTATTTATAAATTAGGCACAGTAAGAAATCAACAAAAATTAATAAAATAGAACACTTACAACAATGTACTGTAATAAAGTTATATAAATATGGTCTCTCTCTCTCTCAAAATATCACATTGTATTGAACTCCCCCTTCTTCGTCTTGTGATGATGTGAGTTAATAAAATACCTGCGTGATGAGATGAAGTGAGGTGAGTGATGTAGGCATCATGGACGTAATGTCAGGCTGCTATTAACTTCTGACAAATTGTCAGGAGGGTCATATCCTTCTGGACCATAGTATGGGTATCTGAAACCATAGAAAGCAAAACCTCCCTTAAGGGGAGACTACTGTCTAAGGCTCATTCCCTGACTTCAAGGTGTTGACAGAGCTTGAGAGAGGGAATCTGGCAGCACACGAATCCGAATAAACCATTTTGAACTAAATGTGATTGAATCTCAGAGAAAAGAGAGGGCACTGCGGCCCGGGTGAACCATATATACAGAGCCACCACCTTGACCTTTCACTTACCCGATTCTTTATAGACCAAAATTTGACATTCTCAATGGGCTTTCAGGGTGAGTTCCCACACTTGGACTCCAGATAGTTACAACTTGATCCTGTACTGGTTGGCAATAGGGAGCTGAAGTAGATCTTTCTGGGCAGTGCAGAACCATGGTAAGGGAGTTAGAATGATACAGACCTGGCTTCACGTCCTGGGTCTACTCTTTACCATCTCTGATCCTGAGCTTCTTAATCTTTGAACCCAGTTTCTCCATCCATCTATTAGAACAGCAATACCTACTTCTCTTAAGGTTCTAGTGACAGAATATCTGCAACCCCTCTAGTGGGTTGTATGGAAGTGGTTTATATCGTTTTGTTGTTAGCTACAAGAAAATGCAGGCTGGGCTATCGCATTCCTCGAAAGCTTATTTCAAAAGTCATTTTCTCTGTGAAACCTCCGCAGGCTCCGGGCAAGGGTAATGCTCCCTTCCCTGCACTCGCACAGCACTTACCATGGTGTGCTGCCGTTTATCTCTTTACAGCTTTGTTTCACCACCTTGTCTTTATTCATCCCTATGTCAACACCTAGCACAGAGCTTCCCATGAAATGTTGAATGTGTTTTCTAAAGTTTCCATTTTTTGTACTGGTTCTGACTTTCAGTATACAGTGATTTGTATTAAACTTCAGGCTCTAGGGGTGCCTGGGTGGCTCAGTCGATAAGGCATCCGACTTTGGCTCAGGTCATGATCTCTCAGTTCGTGGGTTCGAGCCCTGCATCTGGCTCTGTGCTGAGAGCTCAGGGTCTGGAGCCTGCTTCGGATTCTGTGTCTCCTTCTCTCTCTCTCTGCCCCTCCCCACCGTGTGCTCTGTCTCTCAAAAATAAACATTAAAATTTTTGTTTTATTTTAAAAAACCCCAAAACTTCAGCTTCTAAAATGTGACTCCTTGGGACTCCTGGGTGGCTCATTCGGATAAGCGTCTGACTTCGGCTCAGGTTATGACCTCACGGTCCGTGAGTTCAAGGCCCACGCTGGGCTCTGTGCTGACAGCCCAGAGCCTGGAGCCTGCTTCGGTTTCTGTTGTCTCCCTCTCTCTCTGCCCCTCCCCCCACACACTCTGTTTCTCTCTCTCAAAAATAAATACACATTAAAAAAAATTTTTTTAATGTGAATCCTTTAGCACATAGAGTTTATATTGAAATTATGTATTATACATATGTATCTGCTTAAACCTTGATTTTTCAATGCTGGGTTTGTTCTTGAAAACCAACCTGCTATGCTTGCTTTATTTTATATTTGATGTTAGTTGATTCTGCCTAGTAATAGTGAAAGTAAAATCTAAATTCTAAACCAAAACCACCAGCAGCGTTTTACCCAGCATTCTCTACCCACCCTATACACATCTGCTCCCCAGATCCTTTCTGAGCTTTTGTGGGAAGGTCCTGAGCTAACACAATACTTTGTTTTAAGTTTCAGCTCTTAACACTGTTGCAACCATTAGCACTTTCTGAATTAATAGCTGCCAGATAAAATCACCTTTAGCAACAGTTTTGAAATCCTTGTCTCTATGCCATTAAAAATGCTAAGACAGGAGAATAAAACCTCCCCTAGAAAATGTCGTGTGAGC